GTTAAGTTTGACGAGAGTCAGGAGACCAGGTTGGCAGATTCTTCCAGCTCTCCAATGTGGCCTTCCATAGTCTGGCCCCATGGTTCTGATGGAAATGCTGGGTGTTTCTGCTCTGTATACGGAAAACATCTGTAGCACCGTCATTACTTGGTTCAGTAAGTATACCGTCACAGTATACCTTCACAGGACACTCAGAAGAATTGGTCGGTCATGTAAAATCTTAAACAGGCAGCTGGCACTCTAAAGGACTTTGCATATGACCAAAGAGGTCATAATTGGGCTTGGTGTGATTTTTTTAAGGCAATGAACAATGACTCACAAAAAAATGTCATTCCCAATGTCAATTTTACCTAGTGAGGAAAAAAAAAAATCACTGATAGGCACACTTCTCGTGGGATTGACAGCACAATGTACAAAACCTCCCATGCCAAGGTCTCCTCTCCTATCAAAATCTACAGACCTAGCCACACCAATAGTGTACCCCAACATAATTTAGAAGAGCTCCTTAGTTACTTCTGAAATCACCTGCTAAATATCTGAAGTCTACAGCGTTATTGTTTTTTTTCTACCAAGATATAAAATCCCTTCCATTAAATACTTTAAAAATCTAACTTTAGGTAAATAACTTGAAGCCTGACAAAATTAGGAAAGTGACTCGGCAGCAAACTAAAGTTCAAACTAGCATTTACAAACTGGAATCTATTTCTCTAAAAGCAGCAGCCAAATGATTTACTGTTTTCTTATAAAACCTAAAGCCTAGATAAGTCTTGAGCCATATTTTTGCAAAAATCTAAGCATTTGCCTGAAAATGCTGAGAATCAACTCCTCTTTTTATTTGAAAGGATTTTAAGCTGTCTAAATACGTTCATCTTTGATGAGATGCGGTCTTTGAAGTGATGTTTTGACTCTGTTAGCAAAGCCTCAGTTTCCAAACTTAAACATTGGAGGGAATCAAAGATCCCCTCCCTCCGTTTTTTTTTGTTGTTGTTGTTTTTGTTTTTGGTAAACAGAGTACACATTTTAGTTTAACGGTTTGGGCATCCTACCAGCAGTCTCTAAGAGCTGTCGGATTACTAATGAAAGCCTTAGATATTATGCTGATTTCTTTTGATGATGCTTTTTAAATGTGAAATTACAAAGAACCATTCTTCCAGTAAAGAAATAGAAGACAGGTAGATCAATAAATTGATCTCAAATAAAAGCACAAAATTAAAGGTGCTCAGTTTCTGCCTTGGTGCCAAGGGCCAGACAAATCTTGTCACACCTCTTATCGCCCTGAGGCATACTTCATGTACACTGGGTTTCAAATAGCATGTCTACAATTAAATAGAGAGGTATAACAAATGGACCCCAGGAGATCTTACTCCTGCAAAAGGAGAAAACTGAGCCAGAGAGGCAGAGCCCATGAGTGTCCTGGGGTGCTGCTGCCTCCCAGGTCTTGGTTTCCTCATCCCTAACCAGTAACACCTGGAAACTCACATAAATGACTTGAGTCCTCCCAGATCTAGAAGCTGCTGAGGATTTGCCAGAAGAATCCTTTCCAGAGAGAGGGCTACCCCACCTTCAGAAAACAGTCTTGTGCAGCCTGAACTCATAACCCCACAAATCTGGGCCTTCAACATTCTCATCCATAAAAGAAGTTTCCACTTAAAAATACTCACTACCAGATGCATCCTTTTAAGTGCCCCTTAAAGTTTAGTTTGGTTTACCTAAAAATAAAATTTGTATATACTTTTCAAAACCACAGCCATTTTAAACTGCTTGAATATTTCTGCTATGTGTAAGAGTTAATTTTTCAGTATTTAAAAAAAAAAAACAGCAAAACTAGCCCCCCCAAAAAAAAATCCCAATGGCCCTTAAAAGTGTTAAATGTCAAGAAGTCAGGAGGTTGGCAGTAGTATACTTCCTAATACTGACCCCCAGGTTTTGTTGTTGTTGCTGTTTTTACACCTGGAAAAAGACTTTTGGAACAAATCAATAAAACCTATTTTTATATTAATGTCCATATATTAATGTAGTACTTTCCATCTGGTGTCTTAATGGCCCAGATACTCTTACATGGAGTGATAAAGGAAAATAAAGAACTGATGATTAGGCTTAGTTGTTCTAAAGGAGAGAAACCATCCCTGCTCAGTGGAATCAAGTTCTGCTCAAAACAGTGCGAGTGTGCCTGAATTTAAGCCACTGCAGATCAGGTGTGTGATATGACTTCTGAGCAAACTTCAAGAGTCTGATCCTTTAGAAGCTGTCACGCCCAGCCTGCACATCACCTTGCACAGGATCATTCTTCAACAGGAAGAAAAATGTGCTACAGGATGTACGCAGGAGAGGGGTAACTTTGTAGGAAGGTAGAGCAGTATAAATGAATAATTCTCAGGGTCTAATATAGGTCTGAGGGCCAGGAATTGGGTATGTGACTGGGACACTGAACCTGCATGTAAAGTGTGCACAAGAATGAATGTGAATATGAGTGTGGGTACGTGTGAGTGCAAACACATGTGAGCATGTATTAGAGTGGGTGCAAGCATCATGAGAGTGAGGATGAGCATGCCGGAGCAGTGTGAGAGTGTGTCCAGCTGTCGTGTAGACAGTAGTGTCGATAGAGACAGCCAAGTGCAAAAAAGAACTCCATGTAGATTATGGTACAGACAGTGCAGGTTCAGTTTTATCTACCAAACACTGACAAGCCCAGCCAACAGGCCTGGTCAATAAAGATGTCTGGACTTCGGTAGACAAAATATCAATCTCAGGTAATCAGGTTAACTTTTTGACCCAATGAGCAGATGTTTTGGTATCACAGATAAGGTTCCAGTGTCACAATCTGTACAAGAAATTTTTGCTGATCCTGCAAAACTCAACTAAAGCTCAAAAGCCCCTAGGATCCCATAATTTCCACTTTGTTATCCATCCTTGCCCCAACGCACACACATTCTCCCCTCTCCCTCCTCCCCTGCCCAGCCCCCATTAGCTTCAAATGATACAGAGAGCAGAGATGGTAGGGAATTTTTCCCTGGTTCTACTCCATGGATGTCTGAAAACCTGTTTAAAAGTGGGAGGTAGTTTGGACAACAGGTCGCCCTCATTTCCCTCTGGACCTGTTAGCTAACTTGAAAAACACCACTTATCCCTCTGGTTTCTCAGTTGGCATCCCTCTGGCAAAGGGGAAAAAAATTATCACCTGTCATTATTTGTCTCCTCTTTAACTTATTTCCAGACAAGACCTCTTTTCACACATCAGGACACATAAACTGTTTCAATAACCAGCCAACAAGAGCTGCTAATCCACCACTAGAAAGGGCAAATGGAAACTTGGAGAACAAGTTAAAGCAATTTTGGGTGTGCCACCAGTGCTTCAGGGTTTCAAAAGCAAATGAGAGGAGTGGATAGAGGACCACCTGTTATTCCCTAGGCCCCTGATTGCTGGGCAAGAGGGCAGAGAAATCTGGGTCACACCTTCAAAGAGAAGCATTTTCTACCTGCAGTTTACCACCATTCCCTCCAGGTGGATCCCCCCTCCCCGAAAAGTGACGTGCCCACACCTGACAACAGGTGCACAATGCCTGGGAACCTGTCCTGGTCACAAAATTCCAGGTTGATTGGATCAGAGTTTGCATATATATTTGCCTCTGGATCATCAGCAGAAGGCAGAGTTTCAGGAAAAGAAATTCCTGGTCTTCAAAAATTCATACTGTGATTTCTGAGGTGGGAGTAAGAGAAAAACATGTTTTGGAGTCCAAAATCATAGTAAAGGCTGCTGAGTAGAAATATAAAGCACCCAGTTATGGTGAATAAAGTTATTGAGGTACAATGAATAGCATTTGGCATTCAAGATGAAATCAGAAGGCTGCCTATCATTCAGCCTTTCACCCAAGGTAGCACTATAACCCCTCACACCCTGAGCTAGGAAATTCCCCATGCTCTCTGGAAAAGCTAAGAGAAAGGCCAGACCTTTTAAGAAGTGCTAGCTTCAATGCATATGTCTTCTGAAAGATATTCTGATCCTCTGGAAAGTGAAAACAGCCTTCAGCTGAGATTAACCATGTAATAGAAATAAACTCTTGTCTACTGCCATTGCCAGAACAAGATGTCTGTATGAGACTCCAAAGAGATGCACACGAAAATGTACCTGAAATGAACCTGTTCCAGCCCACCTGCCTTTGGAAATGCCACCCAGGTGCCTATCTCAAGCAACTCAACCTAATATAAAATTGTTACGAAAGAAACTGTCTGGGAGCTGGAGTTGTGGCTCAGTGGTAGAGCGCTTGCCTAGCATTGGGTTCAATCCCCAGTACCGCATAACCACTAAAAATATTAAAATGACAACTAAAAAAAAAATCTTAAAACAACTAAACAAAAAAACTTTTTAAAGAAACTGACTGCTTGGCCCAGAGCATGGTTTTCATTTTAATTCATACATCAAATTACACCTTAGTACACTGACCACACTAATATTGCAATGTCCTATCCTAACTAAGGCTCACAGGTTGCTCATACATAAATGGGCCACAACCACATCTACAGGTTTCAGAGCCCTGTCATAGAATCACATCACTGGCCTAGTGGTGGGTACTGAGTTAATTTGATGGCATCCTTAACAATCTGAATGAATCACAGAATAAAATGTTTTGCTTATTCAGACAAAAGCTACACTCAGCAGCTCTGTTCACTATCTTTGGGGATTAATCAGGAAGTTTTGGATGACATGAATATTATGTTCCCAAGAGGAGTGATGATCTATGGGAAGTACCTCAAAAACTTGTTTTTTAAGATGTCCATGGAAATAACAGTGGGAGTGACTCAGATTCACAGTCCAATCTATAAAATCCTTGCCTATATATTCCCCAGCAGAGACACTTGAAGAGAAATATTAGTTGTGACTGACACAGGACCTTGGTCAGAGTCATTACTCATTAAAAAGTAATAAAACTGGGGACACATAAGGATTCAAAGGTCTGCTGAAAGTAGCAAGAGTTCTAGAAAAATCTCAAGGCAAGACTTACCACTTTGGGCTTCTGCTGGTCCAGGGTATGCAGGAATGCCGCGTTAGGGTCCAAGGTGCGCTCAGGGTCACTGGAAATGTCCTCTTCTGAGTCTTCATAGGATGAAGAGAAGCCCGTGGAGGAGGCAGAGGAAGAGGACAGTTTCCTCAGAGGCAGGTTGCCCCGAGGGCTTCCCTGCACCTCCTCCAAGCCCCTGTCTTCCTGGGCACCCACATCCGTAATGATGACTGCAGGTATAGCTGGTATGTTGCTGGCACTGCAGGTCTCTCCCAGAGAAGGTTTGTCCTCTTGATTCTGGGGCAGCCACTCCCTGTTGGGGTGAGCATCTCTGTCCTGCAGCTGACTTTCCCAAGTCCCCTCCGATTGTACCCCTGTTCCACACGTCCAAGCCAGACCAGCTTTCTCCATGGGGCCCAGCCAAGCCCTGGAGCTCCCAGGCTGCACATCCACTCTGTCCCCAGGAAGGCACTGCTGTTCTTTCAGATCTTTTGCCATTTCCCAACAGGGCAAAGGCTCCAGCATTCTGCCAGAAGAAATTCCCGCCTCCACTTCTCCAGTCCCTGGCTGCACTGTGCAGCTGACACCAAGCAAGCCCAGTGTTGAAGACCCTTCCCCCACTCTGCCAGAGAGCTGCGGGCGTTCATGGATCACTGAGACCTCACTTTGGGTCTCTGCAGGACCTAGAGAGCCCAGGTCTCCAGAAGGCCTGGACGAGCTCAGGGCTTCAGATGGCTCTGAGCTTTGAGCATTCACAGTCGCATCCTCTGGCCTTTCACCGACTTCTGGCTCTCTGGAGCCTGGCAGGCCACAGGGCAGATTTCCCTTCCCCAACTTCCCAGGGGGCTCTCCACCTTGGGACCCGCTCTGCTCTGGGGTTGGGCTTGTCTCACTGCCCAGGAACTGCCCCTGCCTCTCAACCAGGGCCTCCCAGGGGTGCAGGCTTCCAAGCTTGCAGACTGGATCAACCAGAGCAGGATCCTGTGGACGGTGTGGTCCAGTGGATGTGGCTGTCGCAGTCACTGCTATGTTCATCATTAAACTCCTTCCCACCAGCTCCTCTGGGGGAGTTTGGCAGCTCTGAGTTCCCGAAGAAGCGACCCTCTTGTTAGTTTCCATAGCTAAAAATGAGTCACAAGGGGTACTAGCAGGGGTCCCTTTCTCCATCCTCACGGAATCCTTTGCACTCTGAGCCCCAGATCCTGTCGTGGTGGCCTGGCCAGGAAGAGGTGCCACTCCCTCCTTGTCCTTTGAGGGGCACAGACTGAGCCCTCCTCTTCTCACAGAGTGGGCATCTGAAGCCTCTGAATATTGCTCACCCCAAGATTTTGTCCTTCGTTCCTCACTTGGGACGCATTGAGCCAAGACCCTTCCAGGGGGCTGGCTGCTGCTGCGGAAAGGGCTCGGGGAGGGCGAGCGAGCCCTGCTCAAACGTGGGCTTCGGGGCGCCTGAATGGCACAGCTCTGCGCCTGAATGTGCGCCTCGAAAATGCCCACTTTCTGGTTCACCTGCACGTTCTGCAATTCGCGTTGCAGAATTCGCAGCTTCCTTTGGGCCTCCTCCGGTCCCGGCGGAGAAAGGGTACCGGCGGCCACCACCTGCTGCCCATCACCTCGCAGGCGGCCCGCCCAACTAGGGCTGCCCACGCTACTGCTGCTGCTGCTACTACTGCTGCCACCGCCGCTGCCGCTGCTACTATTCAGCCTGCGCCGGCCGCTCCGCCAGCTCCCCGGGCTCCGGGGCTCCTCTGGCGACAGCGACTCGGCGGGGGGGAAGAGGAAAGAAGCCCCTCTCCCGGGGCTGAAAACGCTGCCCGGGCTAAGCACGGCCCTCCCAGGGGGCAGGGGCGTCTCGCTGCCGCTGGGCCCCGGGCCGCCGCCGCTCTTCACCTCGTCGGCACTATTCATGATCACCAGGCTATTGAGTGCATAGCAGTACACAGCCATAGTACTGGGTCCGCCGCGCTGCCTGCCTCCGCGACTCGGGTTCCAGCTCCGCCGCTGGCGCCTCCTCCTCCCGCGGCTCCTGGATCAGCCCCGGAGGCCCGGCGGCAGCAGCTCCTCTCGCCGATGGGGCTGCATGGCCTCGGCGGCGGGCTGGGGGCACAACTGCGGGCTCGGCCCCCGCCCAAAGCTCCATAAACAACCGCGCTTCTGTGAAGACACAAGGAGAAAAGTCAGGACCCCAGAGGGCGCGAAGGAGAGGGTGGGGAGAGCCCGCCGGCAAAGCCCAGAGGGAGCCCTAGGACCCCAATCTGTTCGGGACCGGGTGCCATAGGACGTCTCACCTATAGGGACTACGAGGCTCCGGGGGAACCCATGCCGGGCTCCCTCAGAGTCAGCGCGGTTCTGGGTACGCGTTTCCCCGGTGTGCTTAACCCGCCCCCCTACTCTCGGGTTTGGACCGGCTTTGAAGTCCTTTCAAATTCCAAATTCTAAGATTAGTCTTGAAGCCGTGAGGATGGGCGAGGGAGGATGTGCAACTACTTGGTCCCCAAGGGTGCTGTGCGCGGAGCGCCGCTGACCCGTCACACTCGGCCTGAGCAACCACTGGCTATCGAGGGTAACGGCGCAGCCCTGCTCCACCCTCTCGGGACATCAGAGACCGAGTCAGGGGGAACCTGAGCAAGACCTGCCTTCCCCAAATAGCTGCCAGCGCCCGGATCTGGAGGGCGCCTGCGTACCTTCCTGACCCTGACCCTGGACTTGGGGCTGTGTCTCTCGGCCTACTAAGGCCTGAGAGAGCTGCCCGGCTGCAGCCCAAGCATTTTCAGCACTGGCCTTGTCGCCTGTCCCCAAACAAGTGTTTTTTGAGTGTGGGGCGCGCCTGCGCACGCCCGGGACAGGGACTCTGCAGTATATTGTACCGGAACCAATACTCACCGCCCCTCTGGTTGCCGCCCCCCGCGGTGGTGTGTGTGTGTGTGTGTGTGTGTGTGTGTGTGTGTGTACGCGCGCGCACAGCTACTCAACCCTCCGCGCGCCCCGTTACCGAGGACGCGCTGTGCCTGCGGGCTTCAGGACCCGCGCCGCTCCAAGGAACTCCGGGCTTTGCGTGGCTGCAGACGGGTGACTAGGTGCGCAAACCCGGAGGAAGGCAATCTAAGGGCGGCGATATAAGCCCCGGGAGCAGTGCAGCGGAGGGCCGGGCCTCTCCTCATCCCGGGCAGCCTCGCCCGCCGCCAGCCGAGCCTCCCGGCGGCCCAAGCCCCGGTGCTCTGCAGCACGCCTGGGGGAGGTGGCGCGGAGAGAATAGCCCGGAAGGCGGGCTGAACAAACGCCGAAAATTCGTCTCTCCTTCTCCGGCCCCAGGTCCCACTCCAACGCCTCCCTCCAAAAATCAAAACCTCGTCACCGTCTCCCTAACGCACCCCTTTTCGCAGTTTCAGAACCCAGAATGGCAGATCCGCTCCAGAGCGTAGTGAGGGGAGAGAGGGCTCAGAGGCCAGAGCCATTGAAGAGCCGCCAAGCTTACCTGCAGTTTCTCAGATTCTCGGGTCCTGTGTGGA